AGGCAGTTACCATTGGAGTGAGTAGAAGCATGCGTCCATTGTTTTAGGTTGAAAGAAGTGGTTGGGCTCAGAAGTTTAGAGGTAGCAGGAGTGTAAAGATTAACAGGGATGTTGAAGTCACCAAGAATGATTGTGGGAATTTCAGAAGAGAGAAAGTGAGGCAGCCAGGCAGAGAAGTCATCAAGGAAGCTTGATACCGGTCCAGGAGGACGATAGATCACAGCAATTCTTAACCCCCCTGGCGGTATTCCCGAGTGTTGCTCGGGGTAACGTTTCAGCACCACAAGCGGTAACCCCGAGCTACACTCGGGAATACCCTGCAGTGCTGCTCCGGGATCTCTTCTTCACTTACCTTGTCCTGCGCTCCCACACTGCAGTGTCCCCGGCAATGTCCTCCGGCCGATGCCGGCGTCTGTTTTCCGGGTTCCGTCCCCTGCGACGTCGGGACGTATGTGGATGGAACTGGCGGCAAATTCAAAAATGTGAAAAAGTGACATTCACTAAATACACTAAAATCACATAGTATAACATTCCTGTATCAACCCATTTCACATACATTTTGTCCCGAGTGCTTTGTCCGGCGCCCTGCCTGCATTTTTACTGTTCTTTCTGCCTGGAAATTTAGAAACGTCCATGGCGGCCAAAAAGCGTCCCTTTAGGTCAAAAGCGGTTTTAGACCGGCTAGAGAACAGCGATAGTAAATCAGAACCACTTGCAGAATTGAGTGATAATGATTCGTGGGGGAAATTCCTCATCAAACACTGAAAATGATTTTGCGACTTTGCTCAGCGATGTGCGAACTTGGCGCTATATTTCAAGTTTCAGTGTTTTTGGTTTGATTATATTATTGAATTAAATTTATTATTATTATATTATTATTTTTTATGATTATTTATTAAATTATAATTTATGATTTCGTGTTTCAAGTTTTATCATCCCCGGGATGTTTACTAGACTCTTGTTCGGACAGATTTCAGTGAGTTATTCCTAAAAATTACAGGCCTACAAAAAAAAACCAACATATTTCCATGCAAAAAAATTTACCGCTTTGAGCACAGAAATATGGATATAATCAGACCGCTAGGGAGGTTAATAAAGAAACTGGAGAGAATAGACGAATGCAGTGAACTTCAAATGAGGAGAGGGACAGAGAGGGAGGTGAATGAAGGACCTGAAAAGTCCTTTGAGGAGATAGGAGGACTCCAACACCACCTCCTTTCCGTCCACTAGGCCTGGGAGAGTGAGTCCAGAGGAGACCACCATGGGAGAGGGCTGCAGGAGAGGGAAAGTCATATGCAGGCCATAGATGGATCGAAAATCGACCGTTAAAAAAAAAACAAACAAAAAAAAACGAAGAATCGGTTGTTCGATTGGCCGACGTTACCACCAACGGTGAAAAAATTGTCCGAATTTCGTCCCGTCTATTGCCGGCATTTAGCCCCATAATTACTTCTGTCCCTTGCAGAGACGGGCGCACACAGTGGAGCAATACATAAGAATAAGAAGAAGAATAACAGAAGAAGAAGAATTCCTGTCCACTATTATATTTTATATGAAAAGTATTGCAGTTGCAACAATGTATTCATTTGTATCCATTTCGGATACAGATGTTTTTATTCGGATACAAATGGATACAAATAGATACATTGCTGCAACCGCAAGACTTTTCATATAAAATATAATAGCGGACTGGAATTCTTCTTCTTCTTCTTTTTCTTCTTCTTCTTCTTTTTCTCCTTCTTGCAGGTCACGGCTCATGTGCAGATTTTTTATCAGTAAAACGATCAGCCGATTTGCCCATCATTGCTGGAAAAATCGGCCGATCGTCAAAATCGGCTGCGAATTTTCCAACATGCCCAATAAAAAAAGTGCAAAAAGCCCGAAAAATAGCCGACCAATTAACCCACTAAATCGGCTGATTTTCGACCCGTCTATTGCCGGCTATATATTGATGTAACACAGGTGGGGGGACACCTTCGTGATCAGTAGTGTGGGGGGGGGGGGGGACAAAGAGCAAAGATTTCCACTTACCCTACAAAAGTAAAAAGGCTGATTTGGTGCTGGCGGTACCCATACGCCGCTTGTGTCTTGTACTATGGAATGTACTCGTGTTCTGCCTGTCGTTCTGGCGTTTATTACCTGATCGAACTCTGGCTCTCCTTGGGTACCTTTCAGGCCCAGAATTGATGGTGCTTACAGCATGGCCCCCCGATGTGCAGCATCTGGATCTGATTGGGACGAGCAGGTGCGGTGAGGAAGGAGCAGGTGCTGCTCTTCTCTATGCAGAGGCCGTTTGTTCAGAAGACGTCAACAATTTGTGCAAAATGTGCTTTGTTGGCAGTTTTGGTGGATGTTCCCTTGTGTTATACATATATATAACGGGGGAAAGAAATCAAAAACAGGTTTAAACCAGCTTGAGGTATTCTGATATTGTTTTATTCCGTTTTGTTAGAGCTCAGTAGTTGGCGGGCGTCTTCCAGCAAACTGGGGAACGAGAATAACCTCTGATCTACAATGGAGTAACTTTACAAGTCTGTATGAATCAATCCCTGACCTGTCACAATGCACCACAACAGGATCATTTTTCATTAAAAAGCCATCCTTGAGCTCTGGTCAGCGATGATGTCATTGGTCTGCTGCGAGCAGGAGGAAGCATTTCCTCAGTCTCCCATCCTCTAGTGACCACTGCAGTATCATAACATTGTAGAAAGCTACTGATGAGAGGCTGTAGCAGGGGCTGATCTGTGTCAGACGTTTGTGAACAGACACTAGGATTGACATTGTGTCATCTCTGAGATGGCATCACAGTCCAAGAAGTGGATGGTGACCTTAGATGAAGTTGGTGTCATCCTTCTGATCAGAAAAGCATTGTTGGGAAGGAGGGGGGGGGGGGGTGGTGGTGTTGTAATCTCCATGAGAGGTAATATTTATTTATTTCAGGTACTTATATAGCGCCGCCAATTTACGCAGCACTTTACATATATATTGTACATTCACATAAGTCCCTAACCCTCAAGGGGGTGTACAATCTAAGGTCACTAACTTACATTCATATACTAGGGCCAATTTAGACAGGAGCCAATAAACCTGCCAGCATGTCTTTGGAGTGTGGGAGGAAACCGGAGCACCCGGAGGAAATCCACGCAGGCACAGGGAGAACATTCAAACTCCAGGCAGGTGGTGCCGTGGTTTTGATTTGAACCAATGACCCCTGTACTGCCAGATGGAAGTGCTAACCATTTAGCCACTGTGCTGCCCAAATATAGATACCTGAAAGTGTTACACTGACAGGTTCCCCCAAAACCCAAAAGCAACTTTTTCTTTTAATATCGCAGCTTACCATTTCTGAGATGTGACGGCTGCATTCGTTTCTTTTTTAGGCTTTCGTTCTTCTATTGTCATCTGGTGATCCAGCCAGTAAGAAAGGCTGGTGATGCAGCTTTGAGAAAGACTGCGGCTGAAACGCGTCAGCTTTCATGGATTTTATATCTTCTACTGTGTGCCAATAAAAAAATAATATGATGAAGAAATGAGTTTCTGGCTATATTGCTACATATCTGTGATCCGTTGTTGTTGTTGATCCGATCTGTTGTTTTTCACAGCGAATGTAAAAGTTGTGACAAACCATTTAACACTGACCCCGGGGGTGGGGGCTTATAACGATCAGCCTTTATTTATGGAAAACTATCCCAGAAGAAAAAAAAATCTTCTGGAACTGATTATAAAGTATTAGCTGGACTTTGGCTTCAGTTTGTTAGTATATCTAAATCTGATAGTACATCTTACATCCCCCCAGACTGACAATGCTGCTGTCCAAAGGTGCTTCCTGTGCCCATTTGTTTCAAGAGTGGGGGCGCTCTAATACAGGAGGGGTGTTACTGGCCAGATCACCAGGTGAAAGCAGAGGGGGAAAGCCTAAAAAAAAAAACTAATGCAGCCACCACATGTAATGACTGGTGAGCTGCAATATATTACTTTTTGGGTTTATTCCGCTTTAAAGGAATCCAGTCACCAGACCTTTTATTTACAAAAGAATCTTCCCCTCAAATAATATGTTCATTTAACATTTACAGTATTTTCGTGGTAATTACCTGTCAAAAGACTGCAGCTGGGTGCCGCCATCTTGGAACATTAGACAGAACTCAAGTGACATTCTGTAGTATTCTCTTTCTCTTCTTCTCTTATGCAGCAAGGTGATGGGAGGGGTGGAGCAGATGGGCCAGCACAGACAGTACCTAGACACTCCCATAAGAGGAGAGGGCTATGACATGTAAGGTGGGAGGGGCTGTGCTATGGAATTGACTCTTCCTGGAGAAGTCAAATTCAGAGGCACATTGCTTGGGAATAAAACATGTTTATGGAAAGAAACAAATGCCAAGAGTAAGCAATAAAAAATTTTTTTTTGTTCTTTTACCTGCAATTTATTTGAAGTGTTACTAAACTCCGGGCCCTGCATTCACTATATCCGGTATCCCCGGACTCTGCATTCACTATATCTGGTCTCCCCGGACTCTGCATTCACTATATCTGGTCTCCCCAGACCCTGCATTCACTATATCTGGTCTCCCCAGACCCTGCATTCACTATATCTGGTCTCCCCGGACCCTGCATTCACTATATCTGGTCTCCCTGGACCCTGCATTCACTATATCTGGTCTCTCCGGACCCTGCATTCACTATATCCGGTCTCCCCGGACCCTGCATTCACTATATCTGGTCTCCCCGGACCCTACATTCACTATATCTGATCTTCCCGGACCCGGCATTCACTATATCCGGTCTCCCCGGACCCTGCATTCACTATATCCGCTCTCCCCGGACCCTGCATTCACTATATCCGCTCTTCCCGGACCCTGCATTCACTATATCTGATCTTCCCGGACCCGGCATTCACTATATCCGGTCTCCCCGGACCCTGCATTCACTATATCCGTCTCCCCGGACCCTGCATTCATTATATCCGCTCTCCCTGGACCCTGCATTCACTATATCCGCTCTCCCCGGACCCTGCATTCACTATATCCGCTCTCCCCGGACCCTGCATTCACTATATCCGCTCTCCCCCGGACCCTGCATTCACTCTATCCGCTCTCCCCGGACCCTGCATTCACTCTATCCGCTCTCCCTGGACCCTGCATTCACTCTATCCGCTCTCCCTGGACCCTGCATTTCACTATATCCGCTCTCCCCGGACCCTGCATTCACTATATCCGCTCTCCCCGGACCCCGCATTCACTATATCTGCTCTCCCCGGACCCCGCATTCACTATATCTGCTCTCCCCGGACCCCGCATTCACTATATCCAGTCTCCCCGGACCCCGCATTCACTATATCTGCTCTCCCCGGACCCTGCATTCACTATATCCGGTCTCCCCGGACCCTGCATTCACTATATCCGCTCTCCCCGGACCCCGCATTCACTATATCCAGTCTCCCCGGACCCCGCATTCACTATATCTGCTCTCCCTGGACCCCGCATTCACTATATCCAGTCTCCACGGACCCTGCATTCACTATATCCGCTCTCCCCGGACCCTGCATTCACTATATCCGCTCTCCCCGGACCCTGCATTCACTATATCTGCTCTCCCCGGACCCCGCATTCACTATATCTGCTCTCCCCGGACCCTGCATTCACTATATCTGCTCTCCCCGGACCCCGCATTCACTATATCTGCTCTCCCCGGACCCCGCATTCACTATATCTGCTCTCCCCGGACCCTGCATTCACTATATCTGCTCTCCCCGGACCCCGCATTCACTATATCCAGTCTCCCCGGACCCTGCATTCACTATATCTGCTCTCCCCGGGCCCTGCATTCACTATATCCGGTCTCCCCGGACCCTGCATTCACTATATCCGCTCTCCCCGGACCCCGCATTCACTATATCTGCTCTCCCCGGACCCCGCATTCACTATATCTACTCCCCGGACCCCGCATTCACTATATCCGGTACATTCTCCCGGTCTCCCCGGACCCTGCATTCACTATATCTATCCCCCCGGACCCGGTCTGGTCTCCCCGGACCCTGCATTCACTATATCCGCTCTCCCCGGACCCTGCATTCACTATATCCGCTCTCCCCGGACCCTGCATTCACTATATCTGGTCTCCCCGGACCCTGCATTCACTATATCTGGTCTCCCCGGACCCTGCATTCACTATATGCGGTCTCCCTGGACCCTGCATTCACTATATCCGCTCTCCCCGGACCCTGCATTCACTATATCCGCTCTCCCCGGACCCTGCGTTCACTATATCCGCTCTCCCCGGACCCTGCAGTCACTATATCCGCTCTCCCCGGACCCTGCATTCACTATATCCGGTCTCCCTGGACCCTGCATTCACTAATCTGGAAAAACCGCTGGATTAAAAATGCTGGTAATAGTGTTTTTTTAGGAGTGTTGGCAGTTTATTAACATTTTTCCAGTACATGTAGAGAAAAAAAAAAAGACAGAAGAAAGTTGGTTTTAGCATTTTAGCAGTTTTTCTGCTGGAAAAATGCACCAGAAAACTCTACAAGAACATTTTTGCATTCACCCGCTGTAAGTATTTTTCGGCTTTATCAGCATTTCCTTCACTTAAAGTCAGTTTTGGCTTCACTTGCCTTCTTCATGAAATGGGGTTAATAGCCGTGTTAGTTCTGCCAACTCTTATTTTACACTTTCTGACCTTTTTACTGACTCGCTGGCGATGGTCAAGTGATCCATTTTTTGTCCAAATTAACGGGCCGAATTCTGAAGGATTCTCAAACTTTCTCAGCCTTTCAGTAACTGACAGTCTTGGTGCAACAAGACGGCTTATTAACAGCTGACTCCTTCACCCTCCGTTAAGCTCTCAGGGCCCCGGGATGGAAATTAAAAAGTATATATAAAATACGCGACTATGTGCTGCTCCGTGTTCTAGAAATGAATATTAGTATTAATAGGTACTTGTGAGCTAATATGTGGTATTTATATATAAATAAATTAAATGAATTTAAATGAATTAATACTGTAATAATGGTGCATCAACACCAATACACATACCCAGAAACTGTGCAAAGTTAAATATTAATAAATTAAATGTGTGTCGCGCCCCACCGACTTATTATATCCGTGATGTAAACACATTTCTATCAACATATAATTTATATACCAATCATAAAACGTGTGCTATTAATTCCTAAATAAATAAATTGGAAATGATATAATAATATAATAAAAATACATATATATATATACACAAACGTGCTGAGTGATCAATAGATACTGTATTCAAATAAATGTGCCACACTGATCATATATCAATAATTATAAATAATAAAACATTATTGCACCATTTTATATATATTTATAATTATTGATATATGATCTGTGTGGCACATTTATTTGAATACAGTATGTATGGGCAGCACGGTGGCTAAATGGTTTGCACTTCCGCCTGGCAGTACTAGGGTCGTTGGTTCGAATCTCAACCACAGCTTGGAGTTTGCATGTTCTCCCTGTGCCTGCGTGGGTACTCTGGTTTCGTCCCGCACTGCAAAGACATGCTGAGCAGTTGTGCCATTGCTGACAGCGGAGTTTGAGCAGTGAGGGACACCAAACCAGACCAGACCTTTTCCATCTTAAAGGGACCTCCGGGTTACTGAGAGTGTTATCTCTAAATGCGCTTTTTGATTGCGCATCTGGTGAGTTCGCAGTCTTTACATGTTTGGCCACATCGCCACCGTACAGGATAAGATCACCAGATATTGAAGATCATCATGATCTTCTATGCACTCCAAAGACATGCTGTTAGGTGAATTGGCTCCTGTCTAAATTGTCCCTAGTATGTGTATGTATGAATGTGAGTGAGGGACCTTAGATTGTACCCCTTGAGGGTTAGGGACTGATGTGAATGTACAATATATATGTAAAGTGCTGCGTAAATTGACGGCGCTATATAAGTACCTGAAATAAATAATAATAATATAATAAAAATACATATATATATATATATATATATACACAAATGTGCTGAGTGATCAATAGATACTGTATTCAAATAAATGTGCCACACTGATCATATATCAATAATTATAAATAAAAAAAAATTTGCACCATTTATATATTTATAATTATTGATATATGATCAGTGTGGCACATTTATTTGAATACAGTATCTATTGATCACTCAGCACGTTTGTGTATATATATGTATTTTTATTATATTATTACATCACTTCCAATTTATTTAGGAATTAATAGCACGTTTTATGATTGGTATAGAAGGTATATAAATTATATGTTGATAGAAATGTGTTTACATCACGGATATAATAAGTTGGTGGACCGCGGCACACATTTAATTTATTAATATTTAAGTTCTAGAAATGTTTTCTTGCATGAATAAAAAGTGTTCCTCACCTGCTCCTGTATGATAATTTATCCTTGAAACACGAAGACCCTGTCAAACTGCCAAGAGTATCGCGAACATCTCGGAGCAGCCATCAACTCCGTCTACCCTGTCGCTCCATGCCTACTCTACATCTGCCGCTACGGCTTGTCAGAGCACCAATGAAGCATTATAGCGGGGGACAATGTTGGCTGCTTTTACTGCTTTTAAGTAGTTTTTTATTATTTTTTAATGGTTCTGGGAAGCTGATGGAAGGAAGATGATGTAAGTGAAGAAGTTTGAGTGGAGTGGCGTCAGGAGCAGTGGCATCCCAAGGCAGGTGCGGGGGGAGCGGTCCGTACCGGGTGACACCGACCGTTCGGGGGGGTGACACCGGACCCGCTCCACAAAAAGGTAAGTTGTAAAGCAAGCCGACGATCCCTGCAGGATGAATCCAATCCATCGTCTGCATGCAACCTATACAGGGTGACACCGGACCCGCTCCAAGAAAAGGTAAATTGTAAAGAAAGCCGGCGATCCCCACAGGATGGATGGGATCTGCAGATTGGGGAGCCTAATCCGATCCATTACAACTTACCTTTTCTTGGAGCGGGTCCAGTGTCACCCCGTATAGGTTGCATGTCGACGATCCCCGCAGGATCGTTCAGATCTGTGGACTGAGCATAATGGATCGGATTATGCTCCCCAATCTGCAGATCCCATCCATCCTGCGGGGATCGCCGGCTTTCTTTACAACTTACCTTTTCTTGGAGCAGGTCCAGTGTCACCCCATATAGGTTGCATGCCGATGATCCCCGCAGGATGGATGGGATCTGCAGATTGGGGAGCCTAATCCAATCTATTACAACTCATTTTTTCTTGGAGCAGGTCCAGTGTCACCCCATATAGGTTGCATGCCGACGATCCCCGCAGGATGGATGGGATCTGGGATTGGGGAGCCTAATCCAATCCATTATGCTCAATCCACAGATCCGAACCATCCTGCAGGGATTGTCAGCATGCAACCTATATGGGGTGACACCGGACCTGCTCCACGAAAAGGTAAGTTGTAATAGATTGGATTAGGCTCCCCAATCTGCAGATCCCATCCATCCTGCGGGGATCGTCGGCATACAACCTATACGGGGTGACACCAGTGTAGCGGCAAGATGTGTCTCCCATGTAGCTGTCCCCCTGAAGCAACTGCGCATGTCCCGTTTTCCAAGCACGATCAATCGATGATAGAACTACCGATATCATTGATCGTGCCTGAAGCCGGAACATGCGCAGTTGCTTTAGGGGGGACATATCTACATGGGAGACACATCTTGCCCGCTCCAAGAAAGGTAAGTTGTAAAGAAAACAAAAATAGGGTGTAGCGCTAAAATAGTTCTAATCATATGCAGACCATAATAATGAGATCATATTCGGTGACAAAGTGCTGGTTGCAATAAAGTGACTCAGTGGTATCATAGAATAGTGTCACTCTCAAACATTAATATGCATATATGTACATATAATAAAGCAAATAAATACATAAAAGTGGTACCAGTGGCCGAATAGTGATAAATTACGTCACTTTGTAGTGACCAATGGTGTGTAAGGTGCCAAGAAATCAATCAATGATCCTCATATAGTCCAAAGTGAAGTGCATAGGAGATCATGATGATTCTCAATATCTGGTGATCTTATCCTGTACGGTGGCGATGTGGCCAAACATGTAAAGACTGCGCACTCACCAGATGCGCAATCAAAAAGCGCATTTAGAGATAACACTCTCAGTAACCCGGAGGTCCCTTTAAGATGGAAAAGGTCTGGTCTGGTTTGGGTGTCTCACACTGCTCAAACTCCGCTGTCAGCAATGGCACAACTGCTCAGCATGTCTTTGCAATGTGGGAGGAAGCTGGAGTGCCTGCAGGAAGCCCATGCAGGCACAGGGAGAGCATGCAAACTCAAGGCAGGTGGTGATGTGGTTGGGACTTGAGCGCATTTTCGAAGGTTTTCTTGGTACCTCTTGGTGTTTTAGTGGCTATTTATGACTTCCAGCA